ACATTATGTAGATGAATTTTACTTAAATCAATTTCCAAGAGGTTTTTCTGAGACTAATTACAATATTAGAAGAGAACCTGCAGAATTTAAAGACAACACTAATGAAGCTTCTAATATACAAATAATTCAGCAGCAACAAAAAGAAGTAAGTATTTTTATTGAGATTAGGTTATTTTTATTAAATTATAAGATATAATAGTTTGTATATTTAATAAATTATTAATTAATTTCAGAATACTTTTAATAAAAAGAAATCATTTACTAAAAGAAGATTTGGGGATAATAATACTTTGCAAAATGAATCAAACAACAACTGGCAAGGTTATGAAATTGATCTTTTGATTCAATATATTTCTGACAATTTTAATGAATATAAAAAGGGTAATAAAACCAAGTTATTCAATGAAATGTCTGCAAATTTATTGAAAAACAAAGAACCTGCTGCTATCAAAAGCAAATTATCAAGGATGATTAAAACTTATAGTGAAGTCAAGAAACACAATGAACAAACTGGTGTAGAAAGAAAAGATTGGGAATGGTTTGATAAAATGGACTGCATATTTGGTATCCGCGAAAATATTTCACCTTCTTTCATTACAAATAGATTTACTGATACTGAAAATGAAGAACCTTTAAATAATGAATCCAAACCTGTCAAGAAATTGAAGAAAAATAATGTAGATGCTATTGCTACTGCCATCACTATGATGAGTGAAACTAGAGAAAGAGTATGGGATAAAAAAATTGAATTAGAAAAAGAGAAAATGGCTATTGAATTAAACAAATTAGAGGTAGAAAAACAAAAATGGGAATTTGAAAGAGAAAAGATGAAAATGGAATATGAATTGAGATTGAAAGAGATAGAAGTTAAGCTTCATAATAAAAATTCAAATTAATTATAATTAGTAGAAATTAGTTTGCATCTCCTTTTGGTTTGCTGGTATAGTTAGTAATGATAATATAATAATAATAGTAGTAGCAATAATAATAATAATAATAATAACAATATAATAATAATAATAAAAATTAATATGTGATCATTTTCGCGTTTGTGTAACCTTTAAAATCGCGTTTTTAAATTTAACAAACACTTATATTTAAAAATTTTATTATTATATATTGTAAAAAGGTAAATTTTATTAATTATTAATAATTTGATTCATTATTTGTTCTCTTTTTCTCTCTCCTTCCCTCTTTCTTATTATTTCACTTTGATTTGTTATAAATTCATCATTATCACTATCATCTATTTCACTATCATCATCATCATTATCTTCACATAATTCTTCTAAACTATCATTATTTAATTCTAAAAAATTATGTAAAATGATTGCACATTCAGTAAATCTAACTGCAATAGAAATTTTTCTAGTGTGTAAATCTTTTAAAGCAATAAATCTGTTTTTAAGTCTACCAAAAGCATTTTCAACTACTACTCTATGTAAAGAATGAATTATATTAAATTGAATTTGTGAAATAATTTGAGGATTTGTAAAAGGTTTAATTAAAAAAGTAGATAAAGGATATGCTGAATCTCCAAGTAAAAATTCATCTTCTTTAATAATTTTATAAA